CAGATTTAACCACAGTCCAGATTTAACCACAGCCCAGATTTAACCACGGTCCAGATTTAACCACGGTCCAGATTTAACCACAGTCCAGATTTAACTACAGTCCAGATTTAACCACGGTCCAGATTTAACCACGGTCCAGATATTACCACAGTCCAGATTTTACCACAGTCCAGATTTTACCACGGTCCAGATTTAACCACGGTCCAGATTTAACCACGGTCCAGATTTAACCACAGTCCAGATTTAACCACAGTTCAGATTTAACCACAGTCAAGATTTAACTACAGTCCAGATTTAACCACGGTCCAGATTTAACCACAGTCCAGATTTAACCACGGTTCAGATTTAACCACGGTTCAGATTTAACCACGGTCCAGATTTAACCACGGTTCAGATTTAACCACGGTCCAGATTTAACCACGGTTCAGATTTAACCACAGTCAAGATTTAACTACAGTCCAGATTTAACCACGGTCCAGATTTAACCATGGTCCAGATTTAACCACGGTCCAGATTTAACCACGGTCCAAATTTAACCACGGTCCAAATTTAACCACGGTCCAGATTTAACCACAGTCCAGATTTAACCACAGCCCAGATTTAACCACAGCCCAGATTTAACCACGGTCCAGATTTAACTACAGCCCAGATTTAACCACGGCCCAGATTTAACCACGGTCCAGATTTAACCACGGTCCAGATTTAACCACGGTCCAGATTTAACCACGGTCCAGATTCAACCACGGTCCAGATTTAACCACGGTCCAGATTTAACCACGGTCCAGATTTAACCACGGTCAAGATTTAACCACGGTCCAGATTTAACCACGGTCCAGATTTAACCACGGTCCAGATTTTAACTCAGGTCTTTGAGAACGTCACCCTCATTCATCCAATCACAAACCAGTTCTGATGATTTGGGATCAATGCCCTGACTGTCCGGCTGCAGGTCTGAGGAGAAGTTTAAGGATTTGGACGCAGTCCTCCATGATTCCATGTAGTTTGTGCAATCCACCAGGACCACATCATGACGCTACCGCCTCCATGTTGTTGTGTTTCATTGTTTTTAATGATCCATGTCCTCCAGCAGTTTGCAGTGAACGCAGGCTTGAACCAGTTTCCTCTGCTCAGATCTTCTTGGACTTCCCAGCTGGTGTGTGCTGGTTGGCCTCACACAAGTTGTTTTAGTGCCAAGAGAAGCTTCCAGAGGCCGGAGGCCGGAGTTAAACTACTCCGAGAACATTCTCCAGTCATCATCAGGCTCAGGTCAGTGTTTGGACACATTTCATATCAAAGCATTTGAAACTTGTTTAGTCACTGAACGTTCCGTTTCATTACAAGCCTGAGGAAAGCGGCAGTTCACACAACCCACGAGGAGCTCCACTGTAGCAGCGTCTGCGACGACGTTTCTGACTCCAGCTCCACGTTTTATTAACGCTCACGCAAAAACACAGTAAGGAGAGTTTAGGATTAACTTTAAGACACGTGAGAATTACTGTGGTTCCCTTGTGTGATTTTTAAAATAAGACTAAGCTGTATCACCAAATCAGCCACCGTGCAAGATCAGCTGCAGCTTCGTGGCTCTGATCATTCGCCCGCTCCAAATTTATTCTCACGCCTCATTAAAGAGTCGTTTCCACAGAGCTGTGAATGAAACCTTGTTTTTCTGTGTGGGTTTTATCGAACAGTTAAACCAGTGAGCCTCTGAACAAACTGCAGTTCATCGTCAACGAAACGAGAACTTCCTGAATGTTGTCGACGAGTTCAACGATGAGCACAGACTGTGGAGGTGACGACAACAACACACGTGTCCACCGAACCAAGAAATGTCCCGATAAATAATTAAACACGTTTCATGATGCATTTAATTTTGTCACATTCCATAACGTACACCTGTTCACGTGATCATTTTTAAATTTAACCTTTGACCCGGCATGAGAGCTCGGGTCTTTTTCAGGGGAAGGCATCGTACCATGCAGGTTTATTGGACATGCCAAGAATAGGAGAACTGTAGCTCAAAGCTAAAATTAGCACAACTGAAGCCGTTAACGAGGCTAAAACTACTTAAAGATGACTGAAGCTCCGCCCCCTCAGCTGAGACAAACAGGAAGCAGATTCTGCCTCCAGAAACGAGAGAACGGAGAAATCAGTTTATTTACAAACAAAACATACAACAAACATTTACTTTATCTTAAATACCAGAACAAAAATGTAGACGTTTATATTTCAGATCAAACAGAAACCAGCCTGTCAAGTTCGTTCAGGCTGGTTGTCAGTAAAATATCAGACAACAGCAATTTCTATGTTACCGCCTCAGCTCTGAGATGTCAATAAAAACTTGAACGTTTGGTGAACATGAGCTGAACTGAAGCCTTCACGTCAAACTGAACGCGTCCTCCTGCTCTGAACGTTCCTCAGACGTTCCTCAGACTTGGGTTCTCCGTGGACCTTCAGATGAAGCATCAGAGCTCCTCTGTTGCTGCGTCCACGTGTTGGCCGGACCACCGAGGCTCCTCATGGGTCTCTGAGACTCCTTGTGAAGCTGCAGAGCTCACAGAGCAGGCGTGTCCCCTCAGGCGTGTCCCCTCAGGCGTGTCCCCTCAGGCGTGTCCCCTCAGGTGTGTCCCCTCAGCCCGAATCTTGATAAGAAAGAAATGAGCTGCAGTCCATAAGGTGTCATCTGTCATCCATCCAACCATCCATCCATCCATCCAACATCCATCCATCATCCATCCATCCATCCAACCAACATCCATCCATCCAACCATCCATCCATCCATCCATCCATTGTCCATCATCCATCCATCATCCATCCATCCAACAACCATCCAACATCCATCCATCCATCCATC